TGATGTTACACAGTGTCATCTTTCTTTTGATCTCGCGCTTCTTTCGCACGTTTCTCTCGCGCGCGTCACGCAAGAGTGACCTGTTCCCAGCGCGAGGAAACTGGTACGAGCCACCTTAAGCGACCACCTAGACTTGACATTTCAGGTGGTCACTTACAGGAGGTTCGACTGTATGTACAAATGCCATCTTATTTGCTCAGTGAATGCGAATGATTAATTTTAGTGGCAATTTTGTTTCACCAGCCGAAGAAAACACTAAAAAATAAGGCTAGAAGAATCATACCAAAAATTTGAGTATGCGGCTCCTAACTTTCCTTCCCCCCCTCACAAATATTTATATGTTGGACCTTTAGCCGTTACTGACTTTTATTATAACAATAACAAAGGGAATAATGATTCCCTGATCATTTTAAGATATAACGTGGTAACAAATGTATTTACAGTTACAAATGTATTCCGTTACTCATCAGACTGTTGGCCATGGCTTGAAACTTCCTTCACTCTTCAAGAGTTTTTCTTTACTACCATGAAGTTCTCCTTGCCTATCATAACCTGTAAATTTCTGTACAAGACGTTTTAGCCTTATCGGCGAGTCAACAGAGGCGGAATTTTTGATTGGGGGGGGGGTGTCCAAACTTTGGTTCAGAAAGGACAGTTGGACTCTCTGAGGCAAATTACTTCTCCCCCACACCCCCTCCCACCAGTCGTGGTTGCACGTTATAATTCCTTGGCCGCTTACCGTTTATTTGGATTCATTAAAAAAATCAGCCAGTTGAAAGGGATATACGATCCTGTTGTAAGCGTCAGGTTTGATAGGGGGGGGTCCGGACCCTCCCCCTGGATCCGCCACTAGTCAATTACTATATTGTTTATTATTTAATATCCTCATGAGGTTACAAAGACCTAACGAGGCAGTCATAGTGAAGTTCAAATGGAAAACCAGAATCCTATGAATGATTTGGCTCCAACTTTGGCTCATATACATACATGTACAAGGATTAAACTTGTATACTGTATCAATATAACATAACGGTAATAAGCTGAATGATAAATGCATTTTGATTGGTTCTTGCTAATGATTGATATTAATATTGATATATTAAGCTGAATGATACATGTATTTTGATTGGTTCTTGCTTATGATTGATTGGAGGACAGTTGCATAGATGACGTCACCGTTAACGAAATTTTGCTTCTTTATCATTTAAAACATTTATATTCCATGTTGCCGTGGGTTTATATGGTAATAGATCTCACAAAACGTCAAAAATGCGGTAAGAAATTCATTGGAAAACTTGGATGCGCGTCGAGTGCCACTTTCCTGTTTATACCACATTTCAACGTCAACTGTCAGGGCCGTAACTAACATGAGGCGAGACGAGATGGCCTCGTCTTGATTTTGTTCCTATTTTTTTTGGCACCAGCATCGCTAAGCATTTAAAAAGCGAACTTCTACACTTGCCCAAGATTGACTTTTCTGAAGAAAAATGCCCCGGAAAATGCTTGAAAATGCTTGAAAGAGCATTTCTGAACCAATATTATCTTGAGTGGGGGGGGGGCATGCCAGATCCGAAACTTGCCTCGTCTTGTTCTGAAGTCTGGCTACGGTCCTGACTGTGATCTTTTTCTGAACAGAAGCACGGAAACATTGAATCTATTTGTGAAGTAAACAGTTCAGTGTCCCCAAAAGTAACCTGAGGGTAAATTTCCTGGCTGACCAGAGTGGTACTTAAAAATGCAGAGGAATGATTTGGAGTGGACTTCTAAAAGTTAGTGAGCTTTTACAAAGACTACAGGGCATATTCATGTACATAAATCAATAAATAGTACCTTCAAAGGAGAGGCGTGCAGTAGAAACTCAGTAGTTTTCATCTGTGCTATTTTACTTAAGGTACATATGGAAGACTGATCAAAAAACTAGAGAACTGTCATCGAATGGGCTAAAAATTCTTTACGGACGCCGCCATTTTGAATTTGTCTTAGCAGCCTGGCCGCCCCCGTTTGGCGCCAAAAATGCTTTATATTGATGATGACGATCTCATTCACTCAAATGCGTTCCATAGGGTTTCGTTTTTTAACCCTTTTACATCCCAGCATTAGTATTATAACATAACCAAAGTAAAGCGCGCGCTCTGATT